TGTTACCAACTTGGAATTCTCTTCGAGTCCTTTTCTTGTCAGCATAATATTTCATCCTTTCCTGTGCCTTACTCAAGGTGTCTTTAAGCAATTGCTGCATTTGTTGTCTTCTCATGACGACATCTTCAACAACTGAAACTATTGTTTCTAGGAGTGGGCCAATGAATAAGTGATGGAGAATAGCCATATAAAGCTTCAAAGGGAGTGCATCTCAAGCTGGTGTGGAAGTTGGTATTGTACCACTATTCTACAACACTTGGCCACTGTTTTCAATTAGTAGGTCTGCTAGCAGTCATGCATCTGAGGTAGTTTTCCAAATATTTGTTCACCCTCTCAGTTTGGACATCACTTTGGGGATGATATGCTGTAGTAAAATGCAACTGAGTGCCTAGTAATTTGAACAATGCTTGCCAAAAGTTACTTAAGAAGACCTTGTCTCTATCAGTAACAATGGACTCAGGTGTGCCATGAAGGCTATGCACTTTCTTCCAGAACAAGTCAGCTACTATTGCAGCAGTATAGGGGTGAGATAGAGCCATGAAGTGGGCATACTTTGTCATTCTGTCCACCACTACTAGTGTCACATCCTTGTCTCTCGACTTAGGCAACCCTTCAATGAAATCCATACTAATATGACTCCATGCTTGGTTAGGAATAGGAAGGGGTTGCAACAGACCTGGATATGCCACATTGTCATCCTTACACCTGGCACACACATCATAACTAGCCACAAAGCTGATAATCATTTGCTTCATCCCAGCCCTATAGAATACTTGTGATAGACTCTTGAGTGTTCCCAATTTCTTAGAGTGACCATCCATGGGTGAGTCATGAAAGGTAGCAATCAGTTGTTGTCTTAGGTTTCCATTAATTCCAATGCAAATCTTCCCTTTTTTCCTGAGCACATCAGAGGAATAATGCCATAGACTGGGATCTTGCAAGTCAACTGTCAACTGAGTAATTAGATCCATAGACTGAGGATCACCTTCATAACTTGAAGCTATTTCCTGCATCCATGAGGGAACTGAAGTGTTGGTAGCCATTAGTTGTGCGGTCACCTGAGGTAGATTGGTGCCTCCATTCTCATACTGTCTAGATAGAGCATCTGCCACTCTATTTTCAACCCTATTTTTATATTGTATCTCATAGTCGAGCCCAATAATTTTGTCAATCCTTTCTGTTGGACAGCAGTGGTGACCATTTGCTCCAATAAGTATTTCAGGCTATGATGGTTAGTTCTGATCACAAGGTGTTTGAACTGCAGGTAGTGTCTCCATTTATCAACTGCATTCAGTAGAGCCATGTACTCTTTCTCATAAATAGATTTGTCCCTGTGCCTTGGGGCTAAGACCTTGCTGAAATAGGCCACTGGCCTACCCTCCTACATTAGTACAACCCCAATTCCACTATGGCTAGCATCTGTTTCCACTGTGAACTCCATAGAGTAATCAGGTAATATCAGCACTGGGGTGGAAGTCATAGCAGACTTGAGTGCGGAGAAAGCTAGTTCAGCCTCATCACTCTATTTGAATGAATCCTTCTTGAGAAGATCAGTAAGTGGTCTGTATATGGCACCATAACCAACAACATATTTTTTGTAGTAACCTGTTAGACCCAAAAAGCCTCTGAGTTACTTAACTGAACTAGGCCTGGGCCATTCAACCATGGCCTGTATCTTGGCTGGATCAGTGGAAACACCTTCCTTAGTGATCACATGGCCTAAGTATTCAACTTGAGCCTGCCCAAATGAACACTTGGATTTTTTTGGCAAATAGAGAATGGTCTCTCAGCAAGGCAAACACAATAGCTAAATGTTCAATATGCCTTTCCAGTGATTCACTATAGATAAGTATGTCATCAAAAAAGACTAAGACAAATCTTCTTAAGTATGGTGGAAAAACCTGATTCATCAGTGCTTGGAAGGTTACAAGAGCATTTGTCAATCCAAACGGCATAACTCTGAACTCATATTGGCCCATATGGGTTCTGAAAGCAGTTTTAAATACATCTTCTTTTGTGTAGCTTCTATTGCCATCTCCTGTAGCCTAGCCTGTTCAATAGCAAACTTCAGTGTAGTAGGCTTGAAAAACTTCACTCCAAATCGAATTTCTTCCTTCAGAGCTCCTACGAAGCTAGATATAAAATGAGATTCATTAAGATGAGGATTCCTGATTAACATCTGAGCCTTCATATCCTCAAACTTGCCCATAAACTCATCTACTGTACCAATCTGATTTAGCTTATTGAATTCCTCCACTATGTCGTCCATCACTGCATCCCCAAACCTACAGATTAATTTTTTTCTTAAACTCAGCCCAACTGATCTCTCCTTCACTCAATGTGAGAGATTGATACCACATTTCAGCCAACCCATTCAAATAAAGTGCAGCTGCCTCTACTTTGTGATTGTCTGGAGTTCGATATAAATTGAAATATCTTTCATATTTTTGAATCCATACCTTGGGTTCATGTCCTTCGAAGCTGGGTAATTCCCATTTAGGAGGGGGAGCTGGGACAATCTGATTTCTGTTTGGCCTCATCTCCTACACTGGCAGAGGTAACAACCCATCACCTTGACGATTATCACCCCGAGCTCTATTGGGAAGCCTCTCTAGAGTGGCCAACCTTTCGAGAATCAGTTTCAGGGTTCCTTGAATCCCTGTTTGTGTGTCTCAAAACTCCTGCTGACTGGTGAGCACCTGCTCCAATATTTCATCATGTCTCACGAGTTTTTCATCCATGAGTTTGAGGTGAGTTCCTTCAGCCATTCTCACCACAGAGTCAAAGAAACTTGGCTCTGATACCAAATGTGAGGATCCAACGAAGGATCCGAGCTAAATTCAATAATAAGAGGAAATTGCAAACAAGTGGGACAATTTTCTGGATTTTTTATAAATGGAAATGGATGTCAAATTACAAAGCTAAGAAAGCAAAATTAAGCTAAGTTAACTAAATGAAAACTCGACTCCATAGCTGGAATATAACAACCTATATATGACCAACGAGTGTGGTGCGATTATTAGAATTCATCTTCTTTAATTTTAATAAGAGTTTTTATGTTCGAACCTGAATAAAGGGACTATTTGGGTGAAAAGCATTTTACCTTCTAGTGACTCTATCTCACATGATTCGGCGTTGATCAGTAATTTTTTGATACTGAATAGTTAAATAGAAACGAAAGTTGATTCTGTAAGAAAACTTTTTCTCCAGTATCTTCGTGGAACTATTACAAGGTTACAGTGTTCAATTAATCTATCATGAGTTATACTTGTAAAACAAGAACATCTGATTAGCTAAACGAATCAATTTTGATGATTCTCAAAAATATTACTTGTGTATTAGCATTGTCTTAATCCTTTAACAATAATTTGTTATATTTGATTTGAATGCGTATGGTATAAAGTGTTATATACAACAATGAATTTGGCAACAAAACTTTTGCATATTTTACTAACATCATTGACATCCAGCGGCCCAACCACCTGACGTTGACCGTATGGTAGATATTAGATATTTATCCAAATTAGAGTCGACATATAAGTTTTTGCTAATTAAAGGTGAGTCAAAGAAAATTCATCCTAGATACTTTCTTGGGGCCATTTTGGGCTTGGACTTCGATTTGAAATGGGCATATGATCTAACTCGGGTTGAAATGAATCCATGTCAGTGAACATTCATATTTCCAGCTAGGACTGTCTATGAGAAAAAAAAACTGAAATAGCCTAATTTATAACTGATAATTAAAAAATAGTCACAGTTTCAAAAGTAATCAAAATTTAGCAACTTTTTCATGTAAATATAATATTTAACAAAAATACCCTTAAAATCCGGAAAAATTCAAGCATAATATGTTGGAATTTGATTTTTTTTTATATATGAGATGTTAGAGCTCAGTTTCAATGATGAAAAATAATTTATTCCTATTGCATGTACCTAAAGTCAAGGCGGAAAGAAATGAAAAGAAGATTGCCGCTAAGCAATGAAGGTTGTGAACCAAGAGGGATAAGGAAGGAAGATCAAATCAACTGAAGATCAGAAGGATGCTTAAAGAAGGAAGGTTCAATCAACAAAAGATCTAATTTAGGCGAAAAATCTACTTGGATCACCAATCAAGCTCGCAAAGGAAATCCATATCAAGTACAAGATCCGCCCAACCAGTCTTTCACATCATTTAAGAAAAGCCAAATATTATATCGAGAATCAAAGAATAGATGTCAAAAAGCTGCATCCTTATTCTCGGAAGGAATCGTCAATCAAGATTCATTACAAAGGTCAACTCCTTTGGGTTCCCTATCTCTCAAGATATGTATCAATCATGACTCAAAACAGATCATCCCTCAAGATGTATATATAGTCGGAAGCAAAGAAGAGGAAGGATATACTTTCGTCTGACCAACTTCAAGCTCATTGATCTACTCAACACAAGTATTATAATCTATATTAGATTTACTATGTAACTAGTGGATAGATGAAATAGAGAAAAATAGTGAGACATTGTATCAAAATAATTTAGAGTTTACTTGTTTTAGAAAGCAGTTGGTGTGTTTCAACTCAACAACACAAGTGTAAGAAGAATTTCAAGGAACTTAGAAGAGATAACCCTCTTGCAATCCAATGGGACTCGACTAGGATTCACATTGAATCCGTACTAGTATAAACATTTCCGATGCCATTTAATTTTCAGCACTTTTACATTATGTAGTTACTATTTACTTTTGCTCGAACCTTTAGTCGACTAACTGATAAACTAGTCAATTATCAGTGCAAAAAGGCAATAATTCACCCTTCCCCTTTTGTACTTTCAATTGGTGTCGGAGTAGGTCTCACATTTTTATTTTGCTTAACAGCCTGTGAGAAAAGATCATGTCAAATTAATTAATTATTGGAGCTCTATTCCAAGAAGGGACGTCATAGGCAAGGTCTCCGTATTTTAGTGGACAACACTTCTCACATTTGAAAGTTCGCATGAAAATATATGCAAAATCTTATGATGTCAAAGTATGGCTATAATCAAGAAAGGAGATTATCCAATTTCAGCGCCAAAGTCTGACAAGAAAATGGATGGACAGACATCTACAAATCCCATAGGCATAGATGATTACTCTAATGAGGAAATGGCAATGATACAGGTAAATGTCAAGGCAAGAAATCTTTTGTACAATACTATAAATGATGAAGAATATGATAAGATTTTAAACTGTGATATAGTCAAAGAAATGTGGGATAAGCTGGAAGTCACGTATGAAGGAACAAGCAAAGTCAAAAAAATAAGAATACATCTGTTTATCCATGACTATGAACTTTTTCAAATAAAAAAAGATGAATCCATTGAAGAAGTGTTTGCTCGGTTCAACAAAATTATTGGAGATCTGAAGGCTTTTGGAAAATCCTATTCAAGTGGTAAAAATGTTTGAAAAATTCTAAGGAGTTTGCCTACTGTCTGGCAAACAAAAGTCGTCTCACTTGAGTCTCAAGATCTAGACAAATTATCTTATGATGAATTACATTGAGATCTCATTGCATTCGGGAAAACTCACCTCAACAAATGAGGATAGGAGGCAAAGAAGAAAACAATGGCGTTCAAAGCTCCATTAAAGGATCTGAAGACGATGAGGACAATGAAGCAAATTCTCTAGAAGAAGAGATAGCTATGGTAGCCAAAACTATTAATGGACTAATGAGAAGATATAGGAACACCAAAAGGGGAAAAATGTATTGCAGGAGAACTAGACAGTACAACGCGCAAGATAAGTACGATGGAAAATATTTTGAATATAGAAATTATGAACATGTACAGGCTGAATGTCCAAATCTCAAAAGGAACGCCTCTCGAGGATTTCATAGGAACAAATCATTTAGAAGTTGGAGTGATGAAGATAGCTCAGAACATGAAAAAATTGAAAATCTTTGCTTCATGACTATACTAGAAAATGATATAAACAAGTTCTCAGGTTGCTAGACTGATGAAGACATATCAGATGATGATAGCAAGGAAATAATTGATAACTGCTTCATGGCCCGCGGTGAATCTAGTGAGGTAAGACTCCATAACTGTGATAGATATAATAAATTACACGATATTCTTGATCTAACTCTAAAAGAGTCTCAATTTTTTTAAAATGAATTAAGTAGACTAAACATGGAGAAAAAAATTCTAGGAACTTAAACATGAAATCTGTGAACTCGAACGAGATGACTTTTAGGAGAAAGTTCGAGAATTGCACTTGCAACTCAACGACATGCGCAAATATACCAGTCACAGTTTTATTGGTCAAACCAGTCAACTCAGAAGTCAATTGGAAAAAAACCTATTAGTAACGAATCTACGAATAATAGCACCACTAGTAGATCTATTACTAATGAATGATCCACTCCCTCATGTCACTACTATTGTAGAACTGGCCATAAGTATTCATCCTATAGATTTCGTCATGCTTATATCAAGGGATGGATCTGAAAACCTAAAAATAGTCCGGTTTTCACTAGAACTAACCAAAAATAACCCAAGCAAGCTTAGGTACCTAAAAGAAGGCAATAGTCTTGTTTTGCAGGAACATCACAGGAAAAGTCAAAAAGAAAAGTGGTATCTCGACAATGCGTGTTCCATTTACATAACGAGCGACAAAAGACTATTCAAGGAAGTTGCAAAAATAAATTAAGGAAATGTCAGATTTGGTGATGATTCAACATGGAAGATCGTTGGTACCAGAACAGTTCCATTTAACAAGAATTGTGATATCACAGACATATATCTTGTGAATGGATTTAACTATAATTTGCTAAGTATAAGTCAACTATGTGACTCTGGGTACGAAGTGAAATTCAAGAAAATAGGTTGCGCTATAGAAGATAAATCAGGTAAAATCACTCTTTCAGTAAAAAGGTATGGCAACGTTTATATTCTGGATTGCATTGAAAATTTAGATAGTCATATTTGTCTAGCATATATTTCTCATGACCCCTGGCTTTGGCATAAGAAACTTGGTCATGTCGATATGCACTTGATAGAAAAATATCTTGACATGACTTGGTTATTGGTCTTCCAAAACCCAATTTCTCTAGGAATCATATGTGCGATGCATGTCAACTAGGTAAGCAAACTAGAACCTATTTTAAATCCAAAGACATTTTCTCTACTTCCAAGCCTTTACAGTTGTTGCATATGGATCTATTTGGTCCTACTAGAACTACTAGCAACGGAGAAAAATAATATGTATTTATTATTTGTCACGACCTAAAATCCTAACCTATCGTGATGGCGCCTATCTCAATACTAGGTAAGCCAACAACCTCAATAAACCACAATTTATTTTAAAAACTAAAAACATAATAATTAAGTTTAAGAGTAAATTCCACAAATACTGAATATAAAACACTCCCAAAACCCGGTGTCACTAAGTACATGAGCATCTATACATTACAAGTCTGAAAAATCCGGTCTATAATAATCTGAGACCAAATACAATAAACAAAAGGATAGGGAAGGAGAGACAAGGTCTGCGAAATATAGCAGCTACCTCTGAATCCCCGAAAAATTAATTGTGTGAAAGAATCAACATCCACTGTGTCCGGGATCACCTGGATCTGCACACGAAGTGCAGGGTGTAGTATAAGTGCAACCAACTCAGTAAGTAATAATAATAAATAAGGAGCTGAAAGTAGTGACGAGCTTCTCAGCTAAGTCCAAATACAGTGCTTTCCAACATAAAAGGGCAGGCATGCTCTCAAGTTCAACATTTAAAATTTCAAAGTAATTTCATATCAAATTTGAATGAAACAGAAAATAATATTTTTTCGAATTTTCCAAAATAGTGATATACGACAACTGAAATGCAGCAAATAATGAAATCAATGCATCCTCTCAGAGTAACAGTCACTTAGTCCTCCTCCCATTCACTCCAACCTCACAGTCACTCTTTCCTCACAGTCACTCATTCCTCACAGTCACTCAGCATTTGGCACATGGCACTCACACTCGGCACTCTCACTCAGTAGGTATCTGCGCTCAGTGGGGGTGTGTACAAACTCCGGATGGGCTCCTTCAGCCCAAACGCTATATCAAGCCAATCATGGCATATAACAATGAAACATGCTGCGGCGCGCAGCTCGATCCCACAAATATCCTCACAATTAGGCCCTTAGCCTCACTCAGTCATCAACCTCCCTCTCCAGTCTCTCGGGCTTAAGATGTCATGAAAATCAGCCCAAAAATGATAATATGATGTGTCAATAAATAGCAACAGAGACTGAGACATTATATAAAATGAATGAACATGACTGAGTGTGAAATTACAGTTTGAACATATAATTCAACCACATAAATGACCCAAGTGGGTACCAACAATAACAACATATGTCTAAGCATGATTTTAATATGAGTCTCAGCTCAATTTTCTCTAATACGTAGAGAATGCACGGATATCAATAGTTTATTCAACTATACAGTTCCATGGAATTTGACCATGTCACAATTCCTACGGTGCACGCCCATACGCCCGTCACCTAGCATGTGCGTCAGCTCAAAATCAATCACATAACACATAATCCGGGGTTTCATACTCTTAGGATCAAATTTAGAACTGTTACTTACCTCAAACAGTGTAATTCTTTATTCTGCTATGCTTTTGCCTCATGAATTGGCCTCCAATCGCCTTGAATCTATCCACAAATAATTCGATTTAGTCAATAAAATTTATTGGAATTAATTCCATAAGAAAATACTAATTTCTCAATAAAATCTGAATTTTAGCTCAAAAATAGCCCGCGTGGCACATGTCTCGGAACCCGACAAAAGTTACAAAATCCGTAAGTCCATTCAACCACGAGTCTAACCATGCTAATTTTACCAAAATCCGACCTCAACTCGACCTCCAAATTTTCAAATCTTATTTTCAAATTTCTAAGTTCAAAACTCCGATTTACACCTCAAAAACATGTAATCTAGTCAGATTATTCGATGATAATTCAATATTATGGAGTAGAAATGATCACAAGTGTTTTACCTCAAGATTTCCCATGATTTGTCGCTCAATGCCTCACCCGCTTTTGGAAATGTCAAAAATAACAAAATTTCTCGGACCTTTTTGTTTTGTACACTAACCAGTGCTTTCGCACCTGCGGCTCATTAAGCCGCTTCTGCGGTTCCCGCTTCCGTGACCAAGCTGCCTCTTCTGCAGCTAATTGTGCTTCTGCAGAGCTTTGTCCGCATCTGCGAGGAGCTGCCCGCTTCTGCGAAGCTGCCTCACCAAGCGCCCTTGCACTTCTGCGATCAAATGCCCGCAGGTGCGGGGCCGCTTCTGCGGCTACCTACCACTTCTGCGATCGAAGCCCAACCCACGCCTGGAAACATCTGCGATGGAAGGCTCTCTTCTGCGAGCTCGCACATGCGATGGAATTTCCGCAGGTGCGATTACATCAGATGGCAGAAACTTTTAGATTCTCTTCTAAGTCCAAATTCGATCCGTTAACCATCGAAACTCACCCGAGGCCCTAGGGAACTCAACCAAATATACCAACAAATCCTAAAACACCATACGAACTTAGCTAAGCTTTCAAATCACATCAAACAACGCTAAAACCTTGAATCTTACCCCAATTCAAGCCTAATGAACTTTGAACTTCCAGTTTTTACAAACGACGCCGGAACCTATCAAATCACGTCCGATTGACCTCAATTTTTGCACAAAAGTCATAAATGACATAACAGACCTATTCAAATTTCCAAAATTGGATTTCGACCTCGATATCAAAAAGTCAACCCCTGGTCAAACTTCCCAAAAATTCGACTTTTGCCATTTGAGGCCTAATTCCACTATGGACTTCCAAATAATTTTCCGGACATGCTCCTAAGCCCAAAATCGCAATACGGAGCTATTGGAATCATCAGAATTCAAATCCGAGGTCGTTTACGCATAAGTCAATATCTGATAAGCTTTTCCAACTTAAGTTATTAATTATGAGACTAAGTGTCTCATTTCACTCCGAAATACTTCCGGACCCGAATCAACTAACCGGTAAGTCATAAATCAACTGTAAAGCATAACTTTAGCAGTAAATGGGGGGAACAAGATTATAATACTCAAAACGACCGGTCAGGTCGTTACATTCTCCCCCTCTTAAACAACCGTTTATCCTCGAACGTGTTTAGAATCATACCTGGAGTCTCAAATAGGTGTGGATATTTTATCCGTATCTCCTGCTCAATATCCCAAGTAGCTTCTCTGATTGGTTGGCCTCTCCACTGTATCTTCGTTGATGTTATATTCTTTAACCTCAACTTTCAAACCTGCCGGTCTAAAATAGCCACCGGCTACACATCATAAGTGAAATTACCGTCCAGCTGCATTGTACTGAAATCCAAAATATGAGACGGATCCCCGACATACTTTCGGAGCATGGACACATGGAACACTGG